TGAGAAGTCTGGGGATGGAAACAGCCAGTGTGCAGGTGTGAAGGGGAGAGAAGGTGCAGCAAGATGGGTGTTGCGGGGGGGACATCTGCAGGGCCCTGCAAGTATGGGGACGAGCTTGGATTTTAAGTACCCCCGGAGGCCCTTGGGAGGTTTTGAGTAGAGGAGTGGTCTGGTTTGAGTCACACTATTACATTTTGGTGTTGGCACTGTGGGGATGGAGGAAGAGGGAAGCAGAAAGCCAGGTAGAAGTCACAGCCCAAGAGGATTCCCAGCGACAGACCAGGCAGGGCTGTGGAGAGCAGGAGCGGCCCTGACTGGATGCATGTGGAAGGTCACTCATGGAGTGAGACGGACTGGAGGTGGGCCGTGAAGGAGTGAACCCAGGGATGCCTGGGCCTTGCCTGAAGCAACTGTGTGGATGGTGACTCCAATGTACTGAGATGGAAAAGCCAGAGGGAAGAGCAGGACTGAGGGGAGAGCTTCCCAGTGGGCGAGCGTGACTGGAGGCCTTGAAGACTCTTGTGTGGAGGCAACGGCTGGCAGCAGGTTGAGAGAGAGAACCCACTGGAGAGATGGCAGGGCCATGGGTAGGAAGGAGAGTCAAATCAGCAGAGGTGACATTTTTCCATTAGTGGTCTCCAGGATGTGAGGGTGGGCCATTTCTTTCCTATAGGCTTACAAGTGGTAGTCATGATTTTTATCATTGTATATTGTAGGCTGTTTCTTTTATTGAATTAATTCAGTAAAATTTTCAACTTAATATTGTGCTAGGTACGGAAGACCTCATGATCCAAAAGGTGGGCTGTGGGTTCTGTGAGGACACGGGAGACAGACCATTCAGTCAAAATTAAGTCAGGAATTCACCCAGGATTCCACCAAAATTGAGTAGACATGGTCTGTGACAGGGGAGGCATGGGGTGGGGGCACATGGCAGAGGCCTGACCTGGTGTGGGATGAGCATGTTTCAACTGACCCATGAGGGGTGAGTCGGAGTCAGGGTTGAGGCATGCTCATGCCAGGGAACAGTCAGTGCTGGGTAGGCTCGCATTTGCTTTGGAGTTAAAATGTCCAGACCCTTCCTTGGCACTGGCAAGTTCTGCAGAAGCTCTCAAGGTCCTTGGCTGGATTGTATAGCTCATGAGAATGATAATGCACGTGAGTTGTGATACTAGCTTTGTTGTTACCTGCTTTCACACAGGTTGTTTTGTTAGATGCTGGGTGTTTCCAGTGCTCTGTGCTCGGTTTTATTTTGATGCAGAGAATATAGTGTGAAATTGGCAGCTCATAAGACATTATAAACACCCTCCATACATTATCTCTAAGAACCAGGACAGCTTTTTGCATGAAAGGCTCTTACATAGTTATCAGAGGAAAGCAACTCTCTCAAGTCATCTGCATTATTGTTAGCTTTATAGACTTTGAACTCAGTAATGCATATGTTCATGTATACTCACAGCATTAGGATTGCACAGAGTGAAGAGCAGCACGCTTTTTTTCCTTGAGTAATCCTTGCAGAATTTTTTATTTATTTTAAAATTTTTAATTTTAAAGATGGGTACAATTCAGGGTTAGGTATACAAATGTTCATTATGTAGGTACCCTTGTTGATGAGGTGTGCCCCCCTCTCCCAGCAGTTTCCCACTACTGCCAATCCCACTTCCCACCACCCCCAGCAGTTTCCCATTACTGCCAATCTTTTTCTTATAGTATTACAAAAGTCTGGTTATGAGTGAGAACATGTGATACTCAGTTCTTTGTTTCTGTGATAGATCACTCAGTATTATAGACTCTAAGTCCATCCA